TGTTTGGAACATTCTTAAAAAGAAGGAATGCATCGGTGAGCTCAGCAACACCAAAAGACCTGGAAGACCACGGAAAACAACTGTGGTGGATGACCGAAGAATTCTTTCCCTGTTGAAGAAAACACCCTTCACAACAGTTGGCCAGATCAAGAACACTCTCCAGGAGGTAGGTGTATGTGTGTCAAAGTCAACAATCAAGAGAAGACTTCACCAGAGTGAATACAGAGGGTTCACCACAAGATGTAAACCATTGGTGAGCCTCAAAAACAGGAAGGCCAGATTAGAGTTTGCCAAACGACATCTAAAAAAGCCTTCACAGTTCTGGAACAACATCCTATGAACAGATGAGACCAAGATCAACTTGTACCAGAGTGATGAGAAGAGAAGAGTATGGAGAAGGAAAGGAACTGCTCATGATCCTAAGCATACCACCTCATCAGTGAAGCATGGTGGTGGTAGTGTCATGGCGTGGGCATGTATGGCTGCCAATGGAACTGGTTCTCTTGTATTTATTGATGATGTGACTGCTGACAAAAGCAGCCGGATGAATTGTGAAGTGTTTCGGGAATATTATCTGCTCATATTCAGCCAAATGCTTCACAACTCATTGGACTCCGCTTCACAGTGCAGATGGACAATGACCCAAAGCAGACTGCAAAAGCAACCAAAGAGTTTTTTAAAGGAAATAAGTGGAATGTTATGCAATGGCCAAGTCAATCACCTGACCTGAATCCGACTGAGCATGCATTTCACTTGCTGAAGACAAAACTGAAGGGAAAATGCCCTAAGAACAAGCAGGAACTGAAGACAGTTGCAGTAGAGGCCTGTCAGAGCATCACCAGGGATGAAACCCAGCGTCTGGTGATGTCTATGCGTTCCACACTTCAGGCTGTAATTGACTGCAAAGGATTTGCAACCAAGTATTAAAAAGTGAAAGTTTGATTTATGATTATTATTCTGTCCCATTACTTTTGATCCCTTAACAAGTGGGAGGCACATATGAAAACTGTTGTAATTCCTACACCGTTCACCTGATTTGGATGTAAATACCCTCAAATTAAAGCTGACAGTCTGACAGTCTGCAGTTAAAGCACATCTTGTTCGTTTCATTTCAAATCCATTGTGGTGGTGTATAGAGCCAAAAATGTTAGAATTGTGTCGATGTCCCAATATTTATGAACCTGACTGTATATGACATGATATTAAAAAAAACATGTTAATCTAATCTCAAAGCAGCGCAGTGCATATAGTTTACAGTTCATAACAGAGAAGTCCATACAAAGTCCATAAATAGTGCAGAAAAAAATAATCGTGTCCACCTGGAATTTTCTCTAGTCACCACTCGTGCCTGTGAGACACCTCTCCTTCCAGGAAGCAACTCACCTGATCAATATGTCCCCCATTCTCATGACTGGCATATAGCATAAATTCACTAAAATTCCTGGGATGAGTCACCACTGTGTCACTCCTCCATTCGACTCATAAATCACCAAATAGCATGCGGAAGAAAAAGAAACAGCCTTCTATAGTGCAGTAAGACCATTAACAATCATCTTTGTCATCTCCCAACTTGACTATTGTAACTCCCTCCTTGCCGGCCTACCCCAACACTGGCTATCCCCGCTTCAGTCTATCCGGAATTCTGCAGCCAGACTCATCCACCTTACCAACCGCTCTGTATCCGCCACCCCCCTCTGCCAATCCCTCCACTGGCTTCCGATTACCAAACGCATAAAATTCAAAATATTAACATTGACGTACAAAGCTGTTCATAACACTGCCCCAAACTACATCACCGACCTGATATCCATCTACCACCCAAAACGCACTCTCCGCTCCTCACAAGACCTCCTACTCTCTAGTTCCCTGGTCTCCTCCTCTCATGCCCATCTCCAGGACTTCTCCAGGGCTTCCCCCATCCTCTGGAACTCACTACCCCAGTCCATCAGACTGTCACCTTCCCTCCTCACCTTTAGGCGCACCCTGAAAACCCATCTCTTCAGAGAAGCCTACCCCGCCCTCACCTAATTGCTGATCTCCTCCGCTCTTCCCACTACTCCATCCCCCACAGTTATCTCCTCCTGTACCACTCTCCCCTCCCTCCCAGATTGTAAGCTCCAAGGAGCAGGGCCCTCGAACCCCTCGTGTATTGCATTGTATTGTTACTGTACTGTCTCGTGTGCTGTCTCCCATTGTAATGTACAGCGCTGAGCAAACCGTTGGTGCTATATAAATACTGTATAATAATAATAATCTTTGTTAATTAAAATGCCACTCATAAAAATAAACTAAAATAAGGCTCATCTCCTATTTAAAGTAGCACCAGACACTAATGTATAGTGGTCACACAGGTCTCTCACCACTGCAGTCACCTCGCTGTGTCACTTCTGATTCCGGCTCTGGTGTCACTTCTGATTGCCGTGTAGCCAAGCTCTGACATGTTTCATCCTTCTGACCTCATCACAAGGGGACCACAATAGTTGATCATAACTGACACTTTGAGGGTACATTGCCATATCCAATGTGGAAGATTGTTTACAAAACGTAAAGGCTAAGTTTTTATAAAATTATAAATGCACATTTTTTTGCAATGTCAGGCTCCTGCAGAGTTTCAGTACTGCTATCTGTCTGTATCTCCCGTACAGGCAGACAGTTACTGAAGTCCAGGAAGAATCAATGAACTACGAGAGCACTCACCAGTCCCCTAGCAGTTTTGAGAACTACAATCTGTCTACCATGGTGGAAGATGGTACATGTAGTTCATTTATTCACAGATTGTGAATGAATGACGCAACTGTGTGGGTGGTGCCCTGGACAGCTGCACTGTTTTTGAATGGTGACAGCAGCTGCAGAGAGAGGATTCCCCACATACAGTCAAGGGGGAAGGCAGGAGATCAGGGATGAGGGTGAGAACGAGCAGGTCAAGAGCATTTTACAAGTTACACCGTAAATATGGGTGCATTGTGTAACATGCTTCAGAAAGTGAACTTATCCTTTAATCTTGCTTTCTGAAACATGTCAAAACTTCTTATTGTATTTTACCTACTTCCCTCCCGACCTATAGTAAAATGACGGCCTGGTGAACCTCTCGTCTCTCCGGAAGGGCGTCATATGACGTACTTCCCGGATCACGGTTTGTGTGTGCCTGCAGGGCTGAGCTGTGGCGAGATCTGTCACTGGCTGTGTACCTTGGACTCAGCCAATGACAGATCTATGTACCGAGCCCCGTTGCCAGTACCATGTGACCTGCTGTGACCAATCACCTTCCTTTCATGCCATCCATTGTATACAAGTGTGTCTATCTGTGAATGGTCACAGTGATCACATGCACAGGCTGGGCCAACCACAGGCCATCTGTGTCATGCCAATCACAGCTAATCACAACAAAATAACCTGAATGAATCGATTTCTTTCAGTTAAATGCTTGCTTATAGCAAAGAAATTATTTGCTATAAGCAATCAAATTATGTGTAAAAAAAAAACAAAAAAACATACTGATCACTTCCCCAAAGTAGTACAATGTAACCATGGTAACATTTTACTACTTTGGTCATAGTGTAATATGAAAAAAACAAATCTTAAAAAAAAAAAAAAAAATAATAATTTTTTTTTTTAACAATTATAATTTTTTTTTTGTACTGTAACCAGTCAGTGTCCCTGATCACCACCACCCCAGTTATATGATGATTCTGTACTGCACTGGTGACAGTATGTAAAAAAAAATTGTGAATTTTTTTTTTTAATTTCTTCATTTTGGAAAAAATTATGACAAAAAAATTACAGCTTCAAAAAACTCACCATGCCTCTTATGAAATATGTCGGACTGTCTACTTTGCAAATAGGGGTCATTTAGCGGATATCTGTACTGTTCTGACATTTTTGGGCCTCAAGAAATTAGATTGGCAGTCAGTACATCAGGATTGATCAATTTTCAGATATAACCCATAGTTTGTGAACTGTATGCGCTTCCTACAGACTAAATAATATACACTGATTTGGGTTATTTACACCAAGGAAATGTAGCAGAATACATCTTAGCCTAAATTTATGAAGAACAATTATTTATTTGCAAACTTTTATAACAGAAACAAAGAAACATGGTTTTTTGTTTTCAAAATTTGCAGTCTTTTTTGTTAATTTAGCAAAAAATAAAAACCACCAAAAGAAAGCTCTAGTTGTGTGAACAAAATTATAAAATTTTAGTTTAGGTACAGTATTGCATGATTGTGCAATTGTCATTCAAAGTTTGAGAGTGCTGAAAATTGGCCTGGGCAGGAAGGGGATAAAAGTGCTCGGTCTTGAAGTGGTTAAGATTATAATTAAAAAAAAAGAACTTGGAATCCGATTATAAATAACCCAAAATAGCAAAAAGTCCTAATTTACAAATTGAATTCAGTCTCCTCTGTCCATTAAATAAATTACCAATAGCGCAATAAAATATTTTTAAGATATGTTTATTGCACAACATATGTTGACACCATATGCAATGATATAGTTCACCATCCTTGAAAGGATATTAATAACATACATTTATCACCATAATGATTGGCCATCATATCAACTAGTCATGAGTCAAATGTTCCTGAGTTTGGTTTTAGGCAATTTCTATGAACATGACTAATGTAATGGTAGCAATGACCATTTTCTGGGATAACATGCTAGGAATTGTCAAACAAATGACATGGCGACTGTTGAGCACAGAGCAGCGATTTTAGTAATGTTTAAAGGGAAATGTGCACAATTCCTTTAACCTCTAGCCTACAGGGCTCTTATACCCTTTCCTGCCCCGGCCAATTTTCAGCTTTCAGCACTGTCACACTTTGAATGACAATTGCGCTGTCATGCAACACTGTACCCATATGACATTTTTATCATTGTTTTGAGACAGATAGAGCTTTCTTTTGGTAGTATTTAATCACCTCTGGATTTTTTTATTTTTTGCTAAACAAGCCAAAAACAACTGAAAATTTTGAAACAAAAAATGTTTTTCTTAGTTTTTGTTATAAAATTTTGTAAATAAGTGATTTTTCTCCTTCACTCATGTGCGCTAATGAGGCTGCAGTGATGGGCATTGATATGCTGCACTGATGGACACTGATAGGTGGCACTGATGGGCACTGATGAGGAGACACTGGTAGGTGGCACTGATGGGCATTGGCAGGCATCACTGATGGGCACTGAAAGGCAGCACTCATATATGGCACTGATAGGCGGCACTGACTGGCACTGATAGGCGGCACTGATTGGCGGCACTGATATGTGGCACTGACTGGCATTGATAGGTGGCAGTGAAAGGCAGCTCAGATGGGCACTGATATGTGGCATTGATGTGCACAGGTAGGCACTGATATGTGGCATTGATATGGCACTGATGGGCACTGGCAGGTGGCATGGATGAGCACTGACAGCTGGCATTGATAGACACTGACAGGTGGCACTGCTGGGGCTACACTGATCATCAGGGCACACTGATTATCAGTGCCCTGATGATCGGTGTAGATGTCCCCTCTGAGTTATGCCGATTTCCGGGCTCTCCTCTCGAGCTGTCAACGTGACAGCTCATGAGGAGAGAAAAATGCCGATAATCAGCATTTCCTTATTTACATGCATCAGCTGTGATTGGACACAGCTGATCACATGACCGAGCTGCCGTCTTCAGGCTCTTTCCATTGATCGGTGATCCTCTGTGTCCGAGGGACACACATAATAATAATAATAATCATAATGGCAAATGTTTGAGTTTAGACTGTTGGACAGATTCGTGTCACTTAGGCTCGGTTCACACTGCACCGACTTGGGATCTGACTTGTGAGACCCCAAGTCGCATGGCATGTAAAATTTCATTTTAGTCAATGAGAGCTGTCCTAATTAGCACTACTAAAGTTGCTCCAACTTTAGAAAAGGTTCCTTCAAGGTGACTTCTATCCGACTTGTGCCCATAGACTTTAATCACTAGCCTACAGGGCACTTATACCCCCTTCCTGCCCAGGCCAATTTTCAGCTTTCAGCGCTGTCGCAATTGCAAGGTCATGCAACATTGTACCCATATGAAATTTTCATAATTTTTTCACAAAAATAGAGCTTTCTTTCAGTGGTATTTAATCGTCACTGGGTGTTTTATTTTTTGAGCTATAAACAAAAAAAAGCAGAAAATTTGAAAAAGGTTTCTTTGTTTCTATTATAAAATTTTGCAAAGAGGTAATTTTTCTCCTTCACTGATGCGTCTGCACTGATAGGCATCATTGATGGGCACTGATAGGCAGCACTGATGGGCACTGATAGGAGGCACTGATGAGGTGGCATGGGAAGGCAGCATTAATGGGCACTGATAGGCAGCACTGATAGGAGGCATTGATAGGTGGCACTGATGAGCTAGCACTGATGATGCTGCAATGATGGGCACTGATAGCCGGCACTGATGGGCAGAACTGATAGGCACTGGCTGGCGACACTGATGGGCACTGACTGGCAACACTGCTGGGCACTATGGGTGGCACTGCTGATGATCAGTGCTGATCTGTTTTCTCACAATTGCCGGTTATCAGCAGTACTTTCCTTTCTGTGACAGCATGAGGAAAGTGTAGCCAATAACAGGCAACTGACTTTACCCGGTGATCTTCTGTGTCATAGGACACAGCTGATCATGTGGTAAAAAGGCCGCTGTGATTGGCCTTTCAGCACATCAAGTGATCAGGTGTAGGACACAGCAATCACTGAGATCATGGGAGGGCACATTCTGGGAGGACATCATATGATGCCCTCCCAGAATTGGACAACCGTACTGTAGCTGTCATTCGGAAAATATTAGAATAGAATAGAATAGACAAGAAAAGAAAATAATAGAATAGATTAGAATAGAATATAAAAATATAATATAACATAAAATAATAAAGAATAGAATAAAATGGAATAGAATAGAAAAAAAAAAAAATAGAATATAATAAAATCGAATATATCTATCTTCCAAAATTTGAATTTCAAATAGAATAAATTTGAATTCAGATAGAATAGAATAGAAAAGAAAATAACAGAATAGAAAAGAATAGAATAGAAAAATTTGAATAGAATAGAAAAATACATTAGAATAGAAAAAAATAGAATTGAATATAACTTCCGAAATTCAAATTCGAATAGAATAAATTGGAATTTGAACAGAATATATTAGAATAGAAAAATTATAAAACATAAAAAAATAGAATAGAAAATAGTAAAAAATTAAATAGAATAAAATAGAATAGAAAAAACAATAGAATATAATAAAATAGAATATAACTATCTTCTGAAATTCAAATAGAATAACTTTGAATTAAAATAGATTAGAATAGAATAAACAATAAAATAGAATAAAATAGAATGTAACAGTCTTTTGAAATTCAAATAGAATAAAATTGACTTTGAATAGAATAGAATAAAATAGAATAGAAAAAACAATAGAATAGAATTCAATGAAATAGAATATAATAAAATAGAATATAGCCATCTCCTGAAATTTGAATTTCAAATAGAATACATTCAAATAGTTTAGAAAATAAAAGAAATGAAAAGAATAGATTAGAAAATAAGAGAATAGAATAGAAATGAATAGAAAAAAAAACCAATAGCATAGAATAGAATAAAATGGAAAGAATATAACCATCTTCCAAAACTGTTAAATTCAAACAGAATAAATTAGAATTCAAATGCCAATTCAAATTTGGTTGAATTGAATTTGAATAGGACCAAATCGAATTTGACAATGAAACAAAACTAAGTGAATTCAAAAAATTGATGTAATGAATTTAACAAAACATATTTATTTAACTAACGAATCAAAACAAATTGTTTTCATATCTAGTGCACATGCATGTGCATGGCCAGAAGCAAGCTTCCTGATTAACTTATATTCCTTTACACAAATGTCAGAATCCATACTCTCTAGCTTACTAGATTACTTTGTGAATCATGCCTTTATTTAATATGGTTAAATTAAATATTATTTTTCTATGGTAAATATAGAATACTGTAAGTTAATACTCTGAACTCATTTTGAGACATTGAATAAAGCTTTAGGTCCTTTTCATGAGTTGCAACCACTATTTTCATCTTTGAAGAATAATTTAAGTTGAAATTTACACACACAAGTGGATGGCTTAGCAGCAGTGATTAATTCCATGTAGGATGCTCAACCTGAAGTTTGAATCAAACAAACCTAGCTTCAAGCCATGTTGTTTGTTTATTAAGCTCATACTGCTCTATGAATCCTTTGCCATGCATTGACTGTTTAATTGTATAACAAATAGTGTATATGTAAAGTAAAATACAGTGGCTAAGTGGTTATCACTTCCGCCTGGCAGTACTAGGGTCATTGGTTCAAATCCCAACCACGGCACCACCTGCCTGGAGTTTGCATGTTCTCCTGTGCCTGTGTGGGTTTCCTCCGGATACTCTGGTTTCCTCCCATACTCCAAAGACTTGTTGGTAGGTTAATTGGCTCCTGTCTAAATTGTCCCTAGTATGTGTATGTATGAATGTGAGTTAGGGACATTAGATTGTATGCCCCTTGAGGGTTAGGGACTGATGTGAATGTACAATATATATATGTAAAGCGCTGCATAAATTGATGGTGCTATATAAGTACCTGAAATAAAATAATAAATAAATAAACATATATGCATAAAAATGCTATTACTAGATTTAAAGAAATATCAATGGGTAGCTGTAAGTCATACTTGAATTATGCAATCACATTAGGTGTTCAAAATGGTCACCATTAGCATCCAGACACTTTTAATTTTGGTGAAGTACTGAATGAAAAACATTGACTAGAGTGTCCACAGGAATTTCTCTGCATGATGTTTCAATTTATTCCCATAGTGCAGTCAGTATAAGTGGTTTTCTACGGTACACTACATCCTTTAGTGGTCCCCACAGATAGAAATCGAGGTGTGTTAAGTCCGGGAAACGTGGAGGGAATTCAACGGCACCTCTACGTCCTATCCAACATTCTCGCAGAATGTATCATGTCTTAGTGGTAGTGAGGTGGTGCTCCATTGTGCTGGAAGTAAAATTGCACATCTGCATAAAGCTCTTTCCTGACGGTCACATGATGGTATCAACAATGGTGCGCCTATTGACATCTTTAGGGGAAAAATAATACTACACATTGTGGCCATAATTCAATTCGGGTTTTAAAAAAGGGCATAGGTAACAACTGTTGAAGCATGTATACATTTTTTTGGGCCCCTCTGTATAATTTCCACTCTGAAAGCTGTAATAAAAAAGTTATTTCTGCTATGTAAAAAGAGCAGCAAAAATAAAAAAGCTAAAACATACTCAAATACTTAATTTGATGTTACAGTTTTGGTGTCATTTTACAAAGTCACTGCCTTTAAATAATTTTTTGAAGCATTGTGAAAAAAATGCAAAGGCATTAAGGCCACTGTTATAAAGATCGTCATCTCTACATTCTTATGCAAAACACATTCTTGGTAACATTAACCACATAGAAGATGTAGCACCCTCCTAATTTAGCTAGGGGTTGAGTGGAAGAAGGATGGGGGTGTGGAGAGGAAGATGTGAAGAAGAGGAAGGAGGCTGCCAGGAGGCCTAGTGGGATGAGGCCTGCCTGTGAGCCTGGAGCTGGAAAGGAGGAAAACTTGGAGCTTATTGGCCCCCTGAGTGAGGGCCACCTGTATGGCAGGGAAGGAGCCACCCAGCTGATATGCCTGTTATCAGCAGCCAACCCAAAAGTGGTACAGGAGAGAATCTGAGTGAGTACACCTGCACCCCCTGGGCAGATAGGGGAAAGAGCACTCTTGTGGGAAACCAGATTAACTACCTACTACTAACTGTTCACCCATTTAAATGGACAGGAGCCGGAGGGCGCATGCGCGGCCGGCTTTGATGGACGCTCTGATCTGAGAGCTCCGTCCACCCGCCAGCATTAACCCGGCACACACCGGCCCAGGGAGACAACAACCCCACAGTGTCATTCCTGAAGCGTGCCCGCACCTCTCAGGCATGCCCCGCCGACGGAAAACCCCGGAATAGCCGGGTAAACTTACTAATTTCTTCCCGGCCGTAATGCCGGGAATCCAAGATGGCGCCGGCGGCAGCAGCGTCCAGGGAGGCAGCAGGAGGCCTGAGGGGGACTACAATGACCAGCAAACGGATGCCAGGCTGCGGCACTCGCTTTATCCAGGGGACCCTGATGAGTTGTCACCCCCACTGTCCCCCACAACTAGTAGCCCAGCCAAGTCTCGGCCACGACTAGACCATGACTTTGAACCCTCACTTCAGGCCCTAAACCTTCCGCCTATGCCACCCCACACATAGTATTGCCCGACATCGATTCGTTCCCAGTGTCAGATCTACCGCTGACGGAAATCTCTATGAAGGGTATGCTGACATCACTGCGCCAAACATTATATAATGATTTCTCCACATCGCTGAGTCAA